TAAAAAACATTACCTCAGAATCAAAATCCATTAACAAAACAATTTTATCCTTGATAGAGTTGAATAGATTATGCTTGTGAATCAACTGGAAAACATCCTTATGTCTTAATGTTAAGTATATTTCCAGAGCATTGCCATAGTTTTTATCATAGGTGTACCTGGTAATAAAAATGTTTTACATTAATGTTCATCAATACTTCCACTTAAACACACATACTCATATAAAAAATCATGTTTTACAATATTAAAAAATGAAAAACAGGTTTAGAGAGGAAAGTTAACTTTTTTTGGAAACCATGCCTTGGGATTTAACTACACATGACCAATAAATATTTCTTTCTCACAATCTTGCCAACATTTTAGAAAATTTAAAGTATTCAACAAAACTTTTTTTTATAGAACTTCTCAATTTTTTAAAATAGAAATCCACATATCAGACAAAAAACCCCACCTATTATCCAAATGAAGGAAATGCTTATTTTAGTAGTAGAAAAATCAGTTCAAATTCTTATAAACAGTATTTAGCTGATAAATAATGACATTCCAAATGCTTATTTATAAGGGAGCTGTATAACATGCAATGTGCTCTTCTGTTAAAACAATGATTTTCACATTGCTTAATTCCCCAATGTTGGCTCCTGAAAAAGCCAACTGCACCTAAACTGCACTGTGTGTCCAGCATTAGTACTACAGAATTACTAGTATCATTGGTATGTTGTTAGTACTACAGAACCTAAGGAATGTCCAGAACCATGTTCCCAGAGGAAAATGATGAATGCCACAAACACAACTGCCTCTATGCCAAGAACTTTCTCGGTCTTGGCAAAAGATGTAAGATGGGCAAGGAAGTGGCGGGAGTGCCAAGGAGGGCCTGAAGCAGGAAGAGTCTTCCTGAGATAACCTGCAGTTTGCTTCTTGTTCTCTAGACCAGTGGTCGCCAACCTTTCAGACCTCATGGACCACCAGTGGTCCATGGACCACCAGTGGGCGACCGCTGCACTAGACCAAAGCTCTGTGAGGGCACGGGTGTGCCTCATCTCTCTCTATCACAGGCATATAGCACAGAGCCTGGGCCGCTTTGTAAAAGTAGCCAATAAATATGAAACGTAACCCAGATTCCATTTACTGCGCCCTACGTCAACGCTAGGCACTGAACTTAGTTCTTGATTATGACATCTCACTTAAGTCTTAAAACCATCCCCTAAGGAATTGTTACCTGCAATCTTACAGATAAGGAGTCTAAGGTCTGAGAGACTTACTGACTAGAGAACCAAGAAGGACAGAATCCACAGCCTCTGGGGGAACCATTTTGCCTACGTAATCTCAGACGCAGCACCCTTCCCTCCCTGAACCACTGCCTCTACTAAGTGCTGCTGACCAGGACTCCTCTCCTCTGGGAAACAGATTACATTACAATTGCACACATTTTTCTTACCTCATAGTTGTTCACTGAAGATTCATGAAAGGTTTTCACTAAGAGGGAATATTGAAAAATGGTATAAAGGGCTCCCTTCCCTCCTCTGTGTCCTCCCTACTCAGAGTCTACCAGACCTAAAATATGAAAAATTGCCCATGTAGACGGAATTGGAAAAAGCAGCACTAAATCATACTCACAATTCTGCTAGGGTCTGAAGTAAGGTCCGGTTCTGACTGTCTTTCTTCAGGTGCTCCCGAACGGCTTGAACTATTACCGAATTGTTGTACAGATCCCCGGGCCATTCCCGGACCAGCGTGGCAAAACCCTAACGCACGGGGGAAAGGAAGAACACTCTCTGAGCAGGATAACGATCTAAAGAGTCTAGACATGCCTAAAAGTACTCACGTAAACAGACAAAATAATTTTATGATGAAAACGTTGGTCCATAAACACATCACTTTTCAGACTATGGGTTTGGGGGTGGACACGGGAGACAGAATTACTGCACCCTAATCGCTATTTACCATTCCTGGGACGTAGGTGGTGTCATCCACTTCTACTCTTACTTGATGAAACACACAAAATAAGAAATGCCCTCTGGTCCTTCAATGAAGCATCACTGCACAGAGAATGTAGGTTTGACTTGCTCTGTCCTCACTCTACATCCTACAGACACTGTCAGGTCAGCTGCTCACCCACCGCCTCTCACGCACGTTAGGTCTGGGCTGCACAGCCAGCACAACGGCTCACCGTGGCTTGTCCCACAGGGGACTCGCCCAGCATCCTTCAACAAGTTACCCTCTTTGTCCTTCCACCCCCTTCCGCCTCTAAACCTGGTTTCGTTTGGGAATTTGGGACTTTGGTTCAAGTCTTATCCCCTGGCTCTTACCCTGACTATCACTAGATCTCAGATTTTGTGGCTCTGATAGAAAACCCCAGATTATCTGGATCCTGTTTCTCTCCCATGGCTGATTCTTGGCCTGGATCCTGGGCAGCTTCTGCCCTCCTGATTCCCGACTTTAGCCCTCAGGCTTTGTAACTCAGTACAGTACAGCAGCTTACTGATCCTTAACAACTTTTAGGAAAAACACAGCAAATAAAAGTAAAACTTTTCATATTATTGAAAAAAATCATATTAATATTAAATAACTCAACCAATGCTTTAATAAACTACTTTGAATTTGTTTAAATGATATTTAGAAATGAAAATTGTAGGGTACAACCTGCTTCTGTAAAGTACCAGGATTTGGTAGAAGAAAATCACAGAAGAATCAGGAATAGAGTCTCCATTAAAGGCCTACACACTTTGTCCTAAAGTGACCCTCAGGAAGGATGGCAAGACACTACAGCAACAGGCTACACATTTCCATCCAAACTGCAACCTTCCCACACATGAGCATGACTGCAGTGTGACTGACATCTGAGGACAGATCATTCTCTGTGGCAGGGGCCTATCGTGTGCACTGTGAGATGTTTAACAGCGTTCCTGCTGGCCTCTGCCCACTAAATGAAAGGACCACAAACCCATCTGCAGGACAAAAACAGCCCCTGTATCGAGAACCACTGGTTTACATGCTCGCTGTGACTCAGGCTACCAGTGACTGCTGAAGGATCATCATCCCATTCACACTTGTATGCCTGGTGCCTAGCACATTCCTGGAATGCAGTAGGCACTAAACAGAAACTTTCAGAATAAATGTGTGTTAAATTAACAAACTTTAAAAATTATAATCCATTTTGAGTGCATGCAAACTGCAAACTTAAACTACAATTTGACATGCTATTTATTAAATGTATGGACTTGGGCAAGTTAGTTCATTTCTTCATTTTTTAGTTTCCTCACCTGTAAAATTGAAATTACTGTGTATAGTGTTGTTGGGAGTATAACATCACAATTTGCACGTAAAAGTGCAGTATATAGTCGATAATCAATTTATGTACTGCCTTTCTCTTAATCAATAAGCAAACAGATCATTTCCAATTCCTTGCTCCATTCCTACTCCCTCAATTTCTCTTTAATTCTCTTCTGGCAAACTTAGTTCTGTGTCTTCCATGTCAGAAAGTTCTGATTTCTTAAGGGGGATTATAAACAGCAATAGCAACTGCTATTCCATTTATGAAACCCCCAAATGGCACAGAGTCCCTTTTTCTATTAAGGCGGTAACTTAAAGAAATTCTCCAAAATTTGCATGGATTAGAGATTATCACCATCTACATCATTAACATTAGTAGTCATTAGAGTTTATCTATCTCAGTGTCATCTACCACACACAAACTGCAACTCAGTTAACTTTAAACCAGTTGCTCCATTATATTGTTTTTCTAAAATTCTTAACATTTTCCATTGAGAACAAGTAAATATGGCCATGCCTGAATGCCATACCTCATAATCACTTTCCAAAAATTCGTGTAAGATCATTTCATAAATGAGTGGTTTCAGAACTGGATCCCCTCTTGGCAAATAAGGACTAATGGCCTAGGGAAGGAAAAGGTAAAAAACAAAACATAACAAAAATCTTTAAAAAGTGGTAAAACCAAACTATACTCAAATTATGCAGAAAACATGAAAGTATATTTTCAATTTTAAAATTTAAGGCAACAAAGTAATTTGGGAAATTATTATAAGGAGGAAAAAATTCAAATGAATTCTATTTTCTTATATCACATTATAATTTTTTAATGTATCTATGAGGGATATGTATGCTTGAATGAATGAATAAAAATTGCCTAGGTTAACCTGCACAACTCTGCTCTTTCTGTTGAATTAATGAAAATCTAAATAACAAGAGGGAGAAGATCACCGAGATTATATTAAAAGGAGGATCAGCATGAGCACAGGCATAGGGCCAGGAAAGCATACTCTGTATTCAGGGAGGTCACAGATGTGGAATGAGGCCACTGAAGGGAGAAGGGGCTGGAGAGGAAGGGGAGGCGGGGTCACGAAAGGAGTTTAGATCTTACCTTGTGGGCAGAGGCAAACAACAGGTATGGGGGCGTGAGAGCAGCACACTGATTTTTTAAACAGCTAACTCTGGGTCAGGGTTGCTGGTAGATCTATCAAGAGTTAAGGCAGCAGTACCAGAAGGAAAGAGAGAGGCCCTATTGATGCTCACAGGGTAAAACTGACAAGAATTGGGGATTTAAGTAGAATAAGGAGAGTTAGGAGTTCACATCAAAACAGTGGCGCTGAGCTACTAAGCAGGGAGGACTGGGTATAATGTGATGTCATAAACACAGACTGAAAGGAGAATGACCGAATTTGGGAAGAAAATGGAGTCACATTAATTTGAGTGATCCTTATCAATAATATATACAGTAAAAAATGGCTATCACACACTTCTAACATAGATAACATATTCGAAAGTGAAGTCTAGGTTATGGAGCCACCTGGGTAAACATGGCCACAGGTCTGGATAACACACTCCAGAAGCAGCCCAATAAACATGAGGAGCAGTGTCCTTGGGGGTTTCCCAGGGACAAGAACACATATGGGGCTGACCAGCTGAGTAACTGGGAATTTTTAAAAGAATATTCATAACGCTAAGAGACCACTGAAAAGGCCCCCACATATGTTAAAGGTTTTTTTTTAAATAAACAAATATAGGAATACTTTATTGATTTGGTCATTGTGCACCAAGTTGAAAGATTTAAAAAAAAATGGCCCTGGCTGGTGTTGCTAACTGGTTAGAGCATAGCCCCGCACACTGAAGGGTTGCAGGTTCCATTCCTGGTCAAGGGCATGTACCTGGGTTGCATATTCAATCCCCTGCCCAGATTGGGGCACCTGTAGGAGGCAACCAATCAATGTGTCTCTCTCCCATTGATGTTTTTCTCTCTCTCTTTCTCTCCCTCTCTCTCTATCTATCATCTACCTATCTATCTATCTATCTATCTACCTCCCCCCCCCATCCTTTCTTCCTCCCTTACATCCCATTCTCTCTAAAAATCAATGGAAAAAATATCCTTGGGTGAGGAATAACAAAACAAAACCAAAAAAAAAAAAGATTAAAAAAATGAAGTATCAAAATTATTTGTTAGAGCTAGAGTCAAACTTTTCCATTTATTTTACAGTAAGTAAAATATTATTTTAAAAAGCATTAATCTTTAGTAAATTTGAAAAACAAATGAACAAAAAACACCCTCATGTTTTAAAATCTACTGGAGGAGATAATACCTATTTTCCACATCCATTAAAAACAACATGACTAGCCCTGGCCAGGTGGCATAGCTGGCTGGAGCATCACCCTGTGCACCAAAAGGTTGTGGGTTCAATGACCTGTCAGGGCACATACCTCAATTTGGGGTTCAATCCCTGTGAGGGCCCATACGGGATGCAATCAATTGATGCTTCTCTCTCTTATTGATGTTTCTCTCATTCTCTCTCCCTCCTTCCTCTCTCTAAAAACATAACCTCAGGTGAAGATTAAACAACAAAAACCACACTAAAAAAACATGACTAGCCCTGGTTCAGTTGGTTAGAGCAGGGGTGGGCAAACTTTTTGACTCGAGGGCCACAATGGGTTCTTAAACTGGACCGGAGGGCCGGAACAAAAGCATGGATGGAGTGTTTGTGTGAACTAATATAAATTCAGAGTAAACATCATTACATAAAAGGGTATGGTTTTTTTTTTTTTTTCAGTTTTATTCATTTCAAACGGGCCGGATCCAGCCCGCGGGCCGTAGTTTGCCCACGGCTGGGTTAGAGTCATCCTGATATGCCACGGTTGAAAGTTCAATCTCCAGTCAGGGCACATACAAGAAACAATCAATAGATGCATAAATAAGTGGAACAACAAATTTCTTTCTCTCCCCCCTCCTCTCTAAAATCAATCAATAAAAAAAAAAGGAATATGAAAACTTCATCTGAACATAGAACTGGAAGGGGATAAGAAAGTGAACACATCATTTATGTACTATATTATATATGTAAATTTTTATACATATAATATATAAACTAATTTTTAAACTAATTTCTGAAAGTTTGATTTTTCTTCCTAGCTGAGCTAATACTCACTTCCTAATAAAGAAGTGACTACTATTGTCTTAATTTTATTTCCATCTCAATAAAGACATACCTTGTTCTATTGCACTTTGCTTTATAGCACTTCACAGACATTGCAATTTTTAAAATACAAACTGAAGGTTTGTAGCAATCCTGCATGGAGCAACTCAATTGAAACCATTTTTCCAACAGACTCAGATGATGATTGGCATTTTTTTTAGCAATAAAGTATTTTTTAATTAAGGTATGTGTACTGTTTTTTTTTAAGATATAATGCTATTTCACATTTAATAAACTACAGTACAGTGTAAACAACTTTTGTATGCACTGGGAAATAAATTCATGTGACTCGCTTTATTGAGATATTTGCTTTATTGCATTGGTCTGAAACCTAACCCACAATATCTCTGAGGCATACCTATATTAATATACTACATAAAAAAATTAAGAGTTAAAAATAAAGTTAGGCTTACCTTAAGCTGTCCAATTTCTTTAAATTTATAAACTTCATATTCCCAGAGTGCTGCATTTTTCCCAAGAATTTTCTGGCATTTGCTGGTAGCAAAAACATCCCAGAGAGAAAGAAAGTTTTAGTAAAAAGAAATAAACCGAGACAGACTAGGTAGACATTTCTCCTCATGTTTTAAATTAATTTCTCATCTCAGAGTTTTGACAAAATTCTATCTCAAGTGGCACTGGTACTCACTTGTTTGTATATACAAGGTTGATGAAAATCATAAAAATACAAAATACTTATAAAGATGAATACCTTTCAGAAGACTACATACAATGAGGGGTTTTTCTCATGACTTTCCTGTTCTGAGTTTCCTATTTATCCAGATGAGCACCGCTGACCTGGGGATCTGTCTTGCCTTGAAGAAATGTCATCACACCCCAAAGTGCCAATTTAACCCTCTGAGTGCCAGCCAATATCCTAAGAACGGTGCTAAAATTGCCAAGGCATTCTTGCTGATTTTACAGCAGTTTAGGAAAAAAATTATGAATTGCAAGTAAATGAAGTTACATATTCAATATCTTCCACAAAATCGTCATCTTCACAGCAAGAATTGACACATTTAGCAATATCATCATCACTAATAAAAGCAGACTTAGAACTGGACACTGCAGGAGGAGCACGATAGCGCTCCCGGCACTTTTGGCGAAAGAGGAGGAGCGCGATCATGCTCCCAGGCACTTTAGGGGTTAAACCACTTCTTGAATGGCTTTAAATAATGGACTACAAAATTAGACTTGAGAAAATTAGAATCTTATCACAGTATAGTATATAATCTGGAGAATAAAACTTTACTCAATTTGCACATGAAAGAAGCATATTTCCCTAAATCTCAGGGGAGGAAAAGTAGGCCTGAAGGCTATCTTGCGGTCAGCCATGTACAGGCACCACATAGCTGCAGGCAAAGCAATTCACACGACACACCCATACAACCATAGGTATGTTTTCTGCCTACTACAGACCCCGGCAAACCAGGAGCCTGCAGTCTGATCATTTCCAT